TTTTTGAGAAATAACCCTGTATATAAAAATCAATTGCTCTCCGTTAGTCTCGCTAAAACCTAAAAGAGGCTCGTTCGATTTTGATGAAATTTTTTGTGTGTTTAAATGGGTTCTACATGGTTTAGGTTTAGATTCATTTGGCCCCGGTAGGTGGCGCTGTTGTCGAGATCCAGAAGTCTTCCGTGCGAAGCTGGGGCGGATCGCTAGTTTCTAATAAAAACAACTTCAAAGAATATAACTCAACTCACCTAGTGCCATGATCGCCCATAACGATAACCAAGTGATTCCTCAACTTTCCAGATTCCTTGAGATGGCGTAGGAACGCCACAACGCCGTCATCCGACGTGGATATCATGTTAAAGTCCTCGTGAGTGATGTCAGCTATGAACGTGAAGCAGAAATGTTTCTCCTCCAGCCCTGTGAACTGAGGGTATATATTTTTTTATATAATATAATAAGGGTGACAAACGAGCACAGAGTCCACCTGATGGTAAATGGATGCTGTGGCCCATAGACATGTACATTAATTTATTTTTTGATTAAGAATAAAGGTGCTTTGCCACCCCTGAGGACTAAGATGGAGTGCCTCGTTTCCAGTATCATCATTACAGCCCTTCGCAAGTCCACTGATGAATATAGGCCTCCACCAAGAAATGCCACAAAGCACGGTCTCGAGCCACCTGCATCCATTGACTTTCTGCATGTCTTACCATGTCGTCACTCCATCTAGCGGGGGGACGCCCTACACTTCGCCTGCCGGTACGAGGCTGCCACTCGAGGACCTCTCTTCCCCGTCGGCTGTCGGTTCTTCAAGCTATATAAGCGGCCCATTGCCACTTCAGCATACTAATTCTTTGGGCTATGTTGGTTACTACGGATCTGAGACGTGGCCCTTCACTGCTGGCCGTATGAAGAAGCTCAAGGTCGCTCAGCGAGCTATGAAGAGGACTATGCTCGGGGTGTCTCTGCGTGATAAACTTAGAAATGAGGATATCCGCAATAGAACCAGAGTAACCGACATAGCCCAACGGATTAGTAAGCTGAAGTGGCAGTGGGCCGGCCATGTAGCTCGAAGAACCGACAACCGATGGGGAAGAACACACAAGTATATTGTCAAGACATCACTGAACAGTTGTCGTCTGGTCGGCATAATGAAGTCAATTTCATTTCGTGTCGAACCGTCGGGGCTCCACCAGGTCCACTTCATGTGAGGCTACTTCTGGAAGAAAGAGTTCATCATAAAGAGTCCCTCTTTCTCCATGAAGGCGGCCAGCTCCTGTCCCCTCGGGTTCCGTTGCCCTAATGCAAATTTCCCTATTTTCAGCTCACCGTTCTCATTAACACCGTATAGTGGGTTTTGGAGGAATGCATGGCCCTAGAGATATCCTTATACATTTCCTCCACCTCCTCATCGGGATGTGCCGAGATTGGTGCGTAAACCTGTATGACCTTCAGCGAATACCGTTTGGTGATTCTGAGTATAAGGTACGCAACCCTCGTCGACACACTCAATCTTTACAACGTTGTTAACAAGAGACTTGTGGACGATAAATCCGACACCTCCTTGTGATATATGGTCGCCATCCCGGTAATAGAACATGTTACCGGATTCGAGGATTACCGTGTCCTCTCCCTCTCTTCGGACTTTGGATAATCCTATAATATGCTAGCGCAAATTGTCTATCTTTTCTTCCAGCTCCAGGATCTTCTTCTCAGTCCTCAGGGTGCGTGCATTATATGTTGCTAGGTCAAGTCATCGTAGGCTGCAACCGAACCTCAACCGGAGATTCTTAGCACCTCCTGCCCCGCAATTACCATATAGCCACTGTAGCCAGGAATAGCGGGGCCGCCGGGGACTGGGGGCCGTTTATTATTGTCATTGCTTGTGGGGGGTATATTGTCATAGTTGCCACACTTGGCGAGTGGGTTGGCAACCGCAGTTTTTTAAATGTTTTTACTGTTATCAGAAAGACGCTGCTGCCCATCTTCTGCCTCAGTTTCTTTCTGTCGCCTTTTACGACACCCACGGGAGTATTAGTTATATGGCGTAGTGAGTAATCTTACCTGCCACCACACGGGGACTATATGTAAATATTTAAAATATGGTAGGACACCTTTTCGTCTATATACTACACTCTTACTAGCAGCGTTAGTCGTAAACGCTATTGCTGATCACGACGGCGCGTGTTCAAATCCCAGGTTAGACTAACATCAATTATTGGGTTTTTCTCTCAAGAAATTATTAGCCCCGCGCCTCGGAAAGCACGCAAAGCCATTGGTCTTCTTGTTGATTACCGTCCCGTCGAAGTGAGAGTGAGGGACCGGAAAGTGCATCTGTGCTTACGCACACACTCGCGCACTATAACACTGTCCTGCGCAAATGGTTAGTCTCCGTTGAGATTGGAGACTGTAAGGCATACCATCTTAGTCCTCAGAGGCAATGCATCTATAGTCTTCTTTGTTTGAAGTTGGTTGCAGATGTCCACGGACTACAGTAGCCACTTACCATCGCGTGGACTGTAAGTTTGTCACTTTAGTTTTACAAATAATGAATGAATGAATGAATATACTTTATTGTACACCACAAACAAATATACAAATGACATAACAAAAGGCAGATCATATGTACAATTCGGCGGCTTTATCCCTACATACCGATCTCTTCCAGGCAACCAAGGGTGTAAAGGAATAAACCAATGAATACTAGGTAGGAGGTGCAATATAAATATACAAAATATAATATCAACACATGCGATGTATAGACAATAAATGCAATAAAATAACAAACTAATACATGAAATAATATAAATTACTAATACATAATAAAAGATAAAGTAAAACATATAAAATATACACATACAAATATATAAACAAACTTACATATCTTCCCATATATATATAAATTACAAAATTCCTCTAACAATAATATAAAGCTGATAAATACAATAAATACATAATCACATAAGTTATCCTTTTTTTTATATTCTACTAAACCAGCGCTTATCTACGATCCCACCTGATGGTAAGTGGTGATGTAGTCTAAGATGGTGAAGCGCACTGACTTAACAAAAGCCTATTCACTCTTGCCTTGAAGACACCCACACTGTAATCGGATGGAAAGACAGATGCTGGCAATTTTTTGGCAATTATTATTCCACTCCTTTGCTGTACGCATGATGAACGACGTGGTGAACCGTTTGGTTCGAATGCGTAAATCCTAATGGTGTCCGAACGATTGAGACAAGTAATGCTCTTTAAGTAGGGTCAGTGTCTCCATATGTAAATCGAGAGTTACCGTGTTACAAAGGTAAAAATACGGTGTTTCTAGATAAAATTACGGTGAATTTACTAAAAGTTTACCGTGTAACTTTTCGAAGAAAAATACAACATTATGAACCAAACCCAAGTCCAAATATATTTGTTTTTAATTAATTACTAAGAAAAATTTAAAAAACATGCAAAAGTAAGCAATTTTATTCTGAATCTGACTCTCCTAACATGACAATATCTTTTTCGTACATAGAATTATTCATTGTAGTTAACATATCGTTCATGGGCCTGAAATCAAAACAGTATTTGCTATTTCTTTTGATTGATTATTGCTGGGTGAAAAATATTTCCTTTTATAATTTTGGGTAAAAGTTTGTTCTTTTTCTTCGTTTTTGTATCATTGACTTGGCTGAAAATGCGCTCGCAATCGGCATTTGAGCACATTACGGTATACAATGGTATTACGGTGACATATGACACGGTAATGCCATATTACCTTGACGGTAGGTTAAGACCAAATTACGGTGCATCTACGGTGATTACCGTGTACATGGAGACACTGAGTAGGGTGCTTACATAAAGAAACGAAAATCTGTGCTGGTCGGTACCGATCGGAGCAGGTATAATATTTCTGTGTTATCTCTTATGCGCTCACTTATAAAGAAACAGGTTTAAACTTGTCGGTGTTGACTACCTGTACATAGCCATAGGCCGTATACACAAAAAAAGCTGGCAGCCTATCAGCGCTTATATAGGGACCGGTCCACGCAGGTAGGTAACCGGCGCATGCAAATGCCGATATGAACAGGCCCCGATAAGCGCCGAACGTCGCCGACAAGTTCCGACAATCTTCGACACGCGCCGCTCAGCTGGCGCCGCCCGCCATTTAAAATTAATAAACGCATATATATTTTTGTTAATAGAGGAATGAATAGTGACGTGTTGATTGTACGGAAGACGGTATATCAAGGGTACACTTAGATACTTTTTAAAATCGCTCTTATTACAAGTTAATAAGGTCGGTACAAATCTCCAAGTGTTACAAGTGTATATTTAAACCACGTTTAAACATTTTAAATTATTATTTATTACAGAGCTTTACAGTTTTAAGGCGAATATTTGTAAAAATTAACTAATTGACAATTCCAAGGCGAATATTTATAAAAATTGACTAGTGGACAAATAAATATCTTTTCTTAAATTTTTTTAATTATAATCTTCTTATAAATCTAATAACTTAATCTTTTAATAACTAAGCGATAAATACCTATATTTTATCGTACTAACCGAACGGTGACAACAAGTCTTTTTTCTGGGAGGATTGGTTGTTCATGCCAATTACACCAATTATCATCAAATGTTTTTCCACTAAGTCCAAAATGTAATAAAGTGTCTCTTGAGTCATTCTTGTATACCTATAGAATTTTTATTGTCAAATTTCAATTGTTTTACAAATACTTAAATGATGGTATTCTCCGAAACATTTCGTTTCTCTATTAATAGGATGTATATAGCTTATTTTCGTATTTTAAAATACACATTTTCTAACAAAATAATTCATCGTCCGATGAGTACATTTTGCTCGCTCTGTTTCAATTGCTTTATGTAACTGTTACCAGAATAGACCAGCGCCGATAAGCGCTGGTAGATCGGCGCCGGCTGCCAGCTTTATTTCTGTATACGGCCATACGTGTTTAAGCGATTGCCGGTGAAGGGTGTGTGTTTATAAAATGGATGTGGATAACGAAGTTTTGATAGCCTTGGTATTTGATAAACAACCTTTATGGGACAAAAGAAATAAGTTCCATAGCAACAGACATATCACCGATAAGTGTTGGAAAGAGATTAGTTTGGAAATGAAACTGGATGGTAAGTGCCTATAATAATATAGATTTATTTGCATATTTAGTTTTTAATAATAATTGGGTATTCTACAACAAGCGATTATGCCTGAAATATTGAACAAAATTATTTCTGACGTTTGTAGCTATATTCAAAGGTGGGCTCAGTCTTTGTTGTGCCGTCTTCGCCGTACAAGATTTAAGTATATAGTCAAGTTTCTCTCAATAACCACTTTATCAATAATTATTAATTATATTATGCAACAAACACAAAGTTTTCACGATTTTGTCAGCTAGTTCAATATCAGTTTTAATGCGTTTGGATAACAAACGCCACTTTGAATATAATCTACCAAATGCACATTCCACCGCTTTTCTCGCTCGCGACAAGCACCTATTAAAATTCTGTTGATCCTCTGTTAATTCACGTCCCCCAAAAGGTTTCACTAAATATGTTTTTAATGGACAGGCTTCATCAGCTAAAAATATGTAAGGAACAGACACTTAGGTATGAGGTAAATTAGCGGGTAATGGACTATCTAATTCCCTTTCATTTAGAAACTGATACAAGTCTGATTTTTTTATAGGGTAGGGTGACAAACGAGCACACAGTCCACCTGGTGGTGAGTGGTTGCTGTGGCCCATAGACATCTACATTTATCCTCGTTTGCGAATCAAAATGCAGATGCGTTGTCATCCGTGAGGCCTAAGATGGAATGCTTCTTTTCCAGTAAAAAGGGTCTCCGGTTCTCTACACTCACCATACGAAACACAGCAGCGTTAAGCTGCTATTTTACGCTGGTATTCTGTGAGAGCGTGGTCCTACCCCGGTTGAGCCGACCCATTCGTGCTACAACTATATCTACTACTAATATAGCTGCAGCATGGCTCTGTCACGTATAAAAGGCACCTCCATCACCCTGTTTGCCATAATCTCCGACTTCTACCATTATACATTTATAATTGGCATCGGCCACTGCTTGCAATACCGCAGAGAAGTATTTTTTTTATAGTTGTAAAACGTAGATCCCGATTTCTTTGTGTAGGCATATGTATGGCATACAGTTTCTTCCATATTGCAACAACCATCTTTTCTATAATTTTCGTTGCTGTAGTTACCCCCTATTCTGAAATAGTATGAAAGTGATTTGAATGATTCTTCAGTTGCAAGATAAATAATAAGATATAAAACAGACAAATATCATTTAGAAATAAAAGAACAATATGATATCTCCCGCTCTAATATTTTTGTGATATTCAAACTAAATAAAGCGATATATGTACCGAAATAAATACAGGGTGTAAGGTGCAGCATCCCGATCTCATTTTTTTGGATCAGGGTGACAAACGAGCATACAGTCCACCTGATCGTAAGTGGTTGCTGTGGCCCATAGACATCTACATCTATCCTCAATTACGAATTTAAATGCAGATGCGTAGTCACCCGTGAAGACTAAGATGGAATGCCTCGTTTTCAGTAAAAAGGGTCCCACGTACTCTATTTGTCAACACGAACAACTTTACTATGGATGTAACCGTCGGAGAGGTAAAACAAAATAGACTTTTCCATACGAATTCTCCGATCAACTCATTACATATTTGTATGAGGTGTCGATTTTTTGGAATCTTCATTCTATAGTGACTTTTTTCTTTGGGATACTGCTTTGTATAAAAATTTATTGTTAAAAACAACAGTTGTTAGAATGTGTAGTTATTATAATGGGCTCAATTCAGATAGACAAGATAGCTAAACTTTAGAAGTCTAGCCTGTCTACCTGGATCGAAACAAAATTTGTGTTTTTATCATCGATCACTAATAAAGAACTAGATACACAATCCCATGCAAAAGTTCTCTAAAAACTGTCGCATATTGTTTTGACCATAGAATTGACGTAATTCTAGTTGAAATAAATATACATTAATGTAAATTGAACCTTAATTGCAAAGACTAAAGTTGTATTCTCAAAGCTACGTACAAATTAAAAGCGCACCCAAATGTTCGAGTGAGCGCTCATTCGGTGAAGACATTTTTTGTCACTGATCGTGTATCTAATTTTTTATTAGTAATCGATGGTTTTTATATTTATTTACCTTGGTACTGCATCTGACAAAGAACCTACATTTGAGCTCCGTATAGAAAAAGTTATACAGTACATTTATGTTTCAGAAAATAAAATAAGAAAACGATGGAAATATCTGAGGGATCAATTCGCCGTAGAGTTAAGAAAGATTCCACCTTCTCGCTCTGGAGATGAGGCGATTACAGATTGTCCTAAGTGGCCCTATTTTAAGTCCTTACTTTTTCTAAGACAAGTTGTGAAGGCACGAGCAACCACTGGAAGTTTGACGTGTCGAAGATCTTTATCAGGTAGTGCAGACCAAGATGGTGAAATAGAAGATACCCAAAGTACGAATGACAATGATTTTTCTCCTCTACCTTCACCACGGAACACGGAAGATGGCAATGAGACTGACCAACCAACAGTGTCTCCTGCGATGTTAACTTTTCAAACCGCTTCAAAAAGGCCTAAAAAGTCACTCGATCACAAAATTTTGGACATTGAACGTCAAAAACTCATATTTTTACAAGAAAAGGAAAAATCTCGACAGAATCGAAGAGACGCAGACAATGAACATCTCTTATTTTTTAAAAGCCTGTTACCACACATTGACAAAATACCTCAACATATGCTACTCAGTTTTAGAAACCGCATTCAAAGTGTCGTCGACGAGTTTGCGTATAGATCTTTGCATTATGACAATCCAAGCTCAATGAAAAACGACTCTCATTAAAGCAAAGTTTCCGGACATAGTAAGGACGTCAAGTAGAAACCTGCGACCAAATAACTGTTGCACAAACATCGAGAGACAATATTGCTGATGTTAATATAAGCAACCGAGTAGCTACAGAAGAATATACTGAATCTACTCAGTCTGTGTAGAATTACCAATCTGTTGCAGAATTTTTTAGTAGATATCAACTATAAAATGTAATTTGGTTATTACTTCCTGATTAAAAGTAATAAGTCTTGTTTCATTATTGTGGCGTCAATTAAGATTTATTATTGATAGAATCAGGCGTTACTTTGCGGAGATCCATTTTAATGGGGGTTGTAATAAACTAATTTGCTTAATTCCGCTTAAAGAAAGAAAATGATGTGTCCTGCCCAGTTTTATGGGGGACCTCCCGCCCTCCCTCAATCGCGCGCACTATACCCGTCGCCGTTAATCCCAGCACTACCACCCCCAGCAGTGTCGTGCCTAGTGTGCTGGTGCTATTACTTACCTGATTGTGACCAGAAGTCTTTCTTCGGGTGAAATGGGTTGAACATGCCAGTTACACCATCTTTTAACTAAGCCATATTCAATTTTATTTAAAATATTGTTAAAAGTTTCTCGTGCCATCCTGGTATAGTCATAAAACTTGTCTTTTATAAATTAATGATAATAAATATGATCCATATTTTTTCTTTTCCTGTTAATATTAGAGACACTGTTCTTTTCTTTCTACATTTAAAATAAACACTTTCTAGAAGGAAAATATCGTCGTCCGAAGAACTGGAGGTTACGATTGTCAATGAGGCCAGGTTTACCTGTTTCTTTATGTAGGTTAACCCTGCACCGATCGGTACCGACCAGCACATATTTGTCTGTACCGGAAACCTGTTTCTTTATGTAAGCATAGGGGCGTAGCTACCGCCGTGTCAGCCGTATCAATGATACGGGCCCCCCGGGCTACAGAGGCCCTGAAGGTATGTAAGCAAAATTCTAAGGACTTCTATGGGACAGGATGTTTTTTTTTGAATTATTTGCCTAGCTTAGTTCCTAGGAGTATTAATTGTAAGTAATAACTTATAATCGATATATAATTATTTTAATTCAATGCGAGAGATTTTGTTCCTTTTGTGAAAAATCTTTACCATTCATTTGGGCCCCCCAACAAATTTTGATACAGGGCCACTCTAAGGCACGCTACTCCACTGTGTAAGCACCTGTAGTCGCTTAAAGATAACAATAGTTTGTGATTCACGTATATGCAACGGCAGGGCATTCCAGAGCTTAATAGACTGGACAGTAAAAGATTTATTAAAAAATGATGAATTGTGAGTTGGTACCCTTATAAAGAATTTTCTTGAAGAGCATAGAGGTTCCCCCGGAAGCCCCACAAAATTATACTTCTCCTTTAGATAGGGAAGAGTAGAAGGGTGAAATAATACACAGTACAGAATAGAAAGAATATGCATGTTCCGCCGAAGTCGAATAGGTGAGCGCTTGAGACGTGAGCGAAATTGGGAAATATGGTCAGATTTGCGCAATCCAAACATGAACCGAATATTAGTATTTTGAAGTCTCTCTAGCTTATTTAGCCGGTCCTCAGTTACCTATGTCTACATTGCTTGCGTCAGTATAGTCTAGAATCGGAAGAAGAGACTGTGTGCAAATAACGCTGATAACGGCACTTTGACGCGGCTAAGGTGTTCATCATGGACATCGTTTCTTATCATTCTTATCTCTTCTTATTGTAGGGCAAATAATTCTTATCCCCCGTAATATCACAGTTGTGATATTTAGTCTCCGTTAAGAATAATGTTTTATTTATTTTAAATTTATGTTTAATTTATTTAAAGCAAAAAAGATATTTAATATTGATAAAGTCACTATAAGATGTTGTTAGGTTAGCTAATTACGTAATAACTTGAGACAGAAGAACCCTTAATTAGGGACTGAATATATTAACCGACTTGGTATTATATGGATCTCACAACTTTTTACGGTAGAAGAACTGAGTTGTGAGACTTGGTTGTTTTATGTTTTTGATGGCATCTATATTTCTTTTTGTAGATAGTTATATCTAGGTACCTATCTACACCTATTATTCCATTATATTATACATATAAAGGGTACACTGATTCATTCTGACTGATTGCAAAATAACTCTGTAAAGATAATTTATGTAATTTACTTATTTTTAAATGTACCTACATAATTTATGTAAAGTACAATGCATAATTAAATAATTTTAATAAGCTAATTTATGTATGGGTATATATTATGTATTTATTTTGTTTTATATTTATTTACTTTAATTCAAATCTCTATCTTTTAACATTGTACACACCTAACTTCAATTTTTATTTCTGCATCACTCAAAGTTTGTGGGTTGAGAATGCTTTAGGAATTAAGTCAGCTTATACATCACGTTGAATATGTTTTACACATCATATTGTATGAAGTTAAATAAATAAAATAAAAATGTATGATTTACCTGCTTGCTAAGATTCAGGAGGAAACCATACTGAGGCACAGCCCCAACGCAATGCCTCCGGTTGATTCCGTTCCACCATTTCGCACCGTATTTGGACTCTTCGAGGAAGAATGCCCTCAGGTAGTGATCCGCCGGTTGTGATTTGAAGCCGTTGTAACGATACTGAAACGTGCCGATCCAGGGCATGTCTTCGAAATATGCCGTGTGATATCTGTTCGAGAAATAGAATACAATAGAATACATCAATATTTATTGAGTCATTTTAGCTCTTTAACAAGAACTTACATAATATAAGTTAATGCTTGACTACAATCCAACCTGGTTGCGAGTAGTAGCACTATATTCTAGATTGCTTTCTTTTTTATTTTTTTTTTATATATGGGGAAATGTTTACGCATACCCGCCTCGCAGGGGCAAGGAAGGGTTATGTCGGAATCGCGCCTACTTAAATCCCATGGTGTTCCACTTTTGCCGCATATTTGAAGGTCAACGGGAAAGCTTTCGCACACATTCGCGATACTACCAGCAGCGCCGTTCGCCACATGGCAGCCGCTCCTTTCTCAGCATCATCATCAACACAATGCGCGCATTCCTCCGCGGCCTCAACTCCACTACGTGGAGACCATGGGGCCAAGAAAAACCACCAGCTTTCCTGCGGAGAATCTTTTTTTTAGATTGCAGTCTTAGTACATCAAAAAATTATTTTACTATTTACTGCTGTTTCTTAGGTGGTAGAATTTTTTTCCTGTCTAGGAGTTCATCTCTCTCTCTCTCTCTCTCTCTTTTCAACCGCCAAATAGGAGTGCTCGCACTGAAAGTAGGAATGCTTGCACTATGTTTCGGTCTGTAGAGTATAGAAAGCCGGCATTCCCATCTTCGTCACAACGTAGTGACAAAATTAGTTGCAGGTGTCCATGGACTGTAGTGGACCACTAACCGTTAGGTGGACTGTAATCTCGTTAAAAAACTACGCACGTAAGTCTAGCGCTGAACGAAGCGTGGAGGGGACGCGCACGAATTGAATTGCACGAACGCGACTGGAGAGCCAATCAGCGCGTGCGAACGATACGCAAGAGCCAATCAGCGCGACTAATGCGCAATAACGGTTACCGCTAGACTTTCGTGCCGCTACTTATACCCGGCACGTTGCTGCCACAGAAGAAAATTTATGGAAATATCCTTGTAGATTTGGAAGAGTTATATTGTTTAATTAGGAATAATAATGATGATGATGATATATAACTTTCCAATAAATTTTTCGATACGATAAGCGAGCCACTTACTGTGAGTTAATTGTATTATGCCTATGACATTCGTGCAAGTACCCGCAATCTGGTGAACGGTATGCCAGCGCATAAAACACGAACAAACAAGCATTAATTTTTATGCATATATTACATAAGACGGCTTTTAAATTCGCCGGTGGGAGATAGTCGCTTTTTCTTCGTCGACGAAATAAAAAAAGAGAATATACTTTCTAGTTAAGTACGTACCCGTACTTCTTGAGAATACGAAACATGAATAACTCTGGATCGATGAGCATATCTTTGGCGAAATTTATTCTGGCTTCCGGCAGTTCTAGTTCCGTTTTCCCCGATAGTAAAGGAACTATAGCTGCTGGTGTTCCGTCTCCCACGATGTTGTAACTAAAAAAAAAAATAATTTGTACTATCTGGTTGGCCTAGTGGTCGTAAAGCCGATATTACACGGATCAAGCAAATTGAAACAATTTCATTGAAAAACATTGAACATTGCACATTGAACGGCTTTACCAATATACACGTAAATCATTTAAATGACGTTCAATGTTCACAGCGTAATGAGATGTCGCGCCAACTCTTACGTGCGGGAATTTCGATATACTGATACTATTTAGTAAATGAGTTGCATAATTAAAAAAAAACTTTTAATTATGGGCTGCGCCCGTAGATTTCGAGAAGGATAACTAAGTGAGCCTCAAGCACTTTCATTAGTAGAATTGGCAGAAGAAGATCCAAATTGTTATTTGAACCATTTGCGAATGACAGACAGTGAATATAATGAACTTCTTAAAACCCATTTTTACGCCACTTGAAAACAATTTTCGAAAATCCATGTGCGCACGCGGAATAAGTGTCGTGCGATGCGCGGAATGAGTTATCGTTCAATCTTCATGTATACACGTTTCAACCGCATTGTACAATGACCAATATTGCTAGCATTGCAATGAAAACGTTCGGTGAATTTAAGCTTTCAATGAGGTTGCGCAATCGCATGGAAATGTATTTAGATGTCTCAATGCCATTGAAGTAATGAAATTGAAAGCAGTATTGAACCGAAATTGATCCGTGTAATATAGGCTTAAGGTCATCATGAGGTCCCGGGTTCGAATCTCGAGTTGGGTCAAAATAAGTTATTGGGTTTTTTTTTATCACGAAATTCACATTCGCAGCCCGGAGAAAGGAAGTTGGCGGTGTTTCACCTGTGTCTTGGATATCGCGTTGGTCCTGCGCCTGATCTCTCTCCGGCCGTGTCGATCCCATCGCAT